TTGTGATGAAATAAGGCGTTCTTCGGATCTGTATCGCAGTGCTTTGCACCATACAACTCACAGGACGTTCGACTGCAGCTGCCGCCTCGCTGAGAGGCACCTTGGTTGGGACCCTCATGGGTCTTGGATAGGGGCCTTCTTCGGGTCCTCTTGGAGCCACCTGCAACTAATCAAAAGTGAGAGGAATCCGGGAGGGTTCACCATCATCATCCTCATCCTCGCCCCCATCCTCAAAACGGCTCTCCCACCCTTGAACAGTCGCCATCCAGCTGCAAAGCTGGCAAGGTGGCGCCACTTGCCGCAGTCAGCTCGATACACACTGCGAGCGGAACTGACGCTCGCAACGCTCATCGCGGACATGCTAGTCAGCAGGAAGTCGCTTCGAGGATCTTCACTTTCGTGGCATTCCCGCGCCTTTTCCTGGCCGTTCGCACTTCGAGCACGACTTTCCTAGCTCCAGACGTTGGACTGGATCCATGTGTTCTTGGTCATCGCTTCCCTATAATCTATACCCCAGAAGCCAGTCTGGTCCTGGGAGAAATTGGGCGTGAAGCCGTTGAGAACTTAACTCTCGGATGCGTCCGACCAGATGCTGGCGCTGTAGATCCGGGCTTCCGCGGCACCAGCGCCCTCGTAGCTGGCGAGCCAGGAGATGGTCGGAGCGGCTGAGCCCCCACCCCCCGAAGCCAGGACACAGCATGACCGAACCCTCCGCGGAGACGACCGACCCACCCGGGCTTGCCGGGGCACGTCCTCGAGCAGTCGCCCATTCCCGCGCTGGACCGTCGGCGCCTCCTCCGCGCGCGCGGCCTCGGAGGAGTGGCGCGACAAGGGGGCGCGATGCGGCTCGCGCCCGCGCCCGGAGCCCCCCATGGCGGCCGGGAGGCGGCCTTGCCGCGCCCGCCCCGCGCGCGGGCACTCCCAACGGCCGTCCAGGGCCGCGAGCGCAGCGAGGTCCGCCGGGCACTGGTGCGCGGGCCAGGGCGGGCGCTGTCGCGGGCAGCCGAATCCCCTCTTGTTTGGGGCGCCCGAGTTATCCGGGGCAACTCGGGCCCGGGGCAACTCGGGCTCGGAGTCCCGAAAAACGAACCCGAGCTAACCCTGACCCGAGTTACCCCGGAGGATTCGGGGCTCCGATGATTCGCGATCGCTCGGGGATAGGAATTCAACCGAGCAGGGTGCAAACGGTCTTCCTCGGTGACCCATGCGTCATCGTCTCAGTCACTGTGCCACCAGAGCTGGTGCACCCCACCCGCGTCCCTGCTGTATCGACTCCACAGGAGCCCGTCGCTCGCAGTAGGAATGCTGTAATGCCTTGCCACCTTCGTCTGCATGTCGCCGGCCTCCAAGCAAGCCGTGCATCCGTCTGGCAACACAATGATCCAGGCAAGGGGGGCAATATCCGCAAGGCGATCACCGGTTGCTCAAAGGCGACGCTACCGTACTCGGAAATGTTCCCTGCTACACTCTGCAAGTGCACTTTAGCCCCTGCGCCGTCATTCCCAATCGTGTCGATGAAGCCCGTGTCGGGCGGCTCTTCTGGCAAAGAGCGTGGCCAGAAGAGAGCGCCCAGGCCGCTGAGGAACGTGCCAATCGGCTGAGCGGCCCGAGCGTCGTCGTAGAAGACGACGCCCGTGCGCGGAAAGGCGGCCAGCAGCCAACGCTTCAGCCGCGCCACCCACGAGCAATCCTGCATCCCACGACCCAGGTCGCCCAGGCAACCCTTGCCCATGGTGAAGGAGCCACCTTCTGTAGAGTCCTCCCAGATGGGGTCCGAGTAGACAGGGTCGGAGGATCGCGCCGCATCGCCGATGCATCGGCGACGTCGGCGGTACCATCGGCGCCGCCTGCATGGAGAAAACCGGGCTCCGCATCGAGCCGCATCGCCGATGCATCGGCGAGGCGGCGCGGATCCTCCGACCCCATCTGCTCGGACCCCATCTGGGAGGCCTACACCATGACGAGGACCCGGGCGCCCGCCCCGCGCGCCGACTTGTCCAGGACAGCGCCCCTCCTGGAGACGCTGCCCGGCTGCGCGCCCTCCCGGAGGATGTCAGCGGACCGCGGGCGCGCCCTCTCCGCAGCTCCTCCGGTAAAAGCCGCCGTGGCACCGCTGCTGAGCCTGTTTTCCACCACCACCACCATAAGTTGGAGGGGGGAAGGAGGAGGAGGAGGAGGAGGAGGAGGAGGAGGAGGAGGAGGAGGAGGAGGAGGTGGAGGAGGAGGACCCCCCCCTCCAACTTATGGTGGTGGTGGTGGAAAAAACACGCCCATCAACCTCGGCGGCACGCGCGCGAGGCCCCGCCGTGCCGCGACGCAGCCGGCCGCCGCGCACCGGGCCGCCGGCGCCGCCCGGGCGCGCGGCACCCCCGCCGCGGGGCTCGCTGCTGTCAGGTCGGGCATGTCCTCCTGCAGACGGATTTTGGGAGGAAAAATATAGAGGAAAGAGAACTATGCACATGCACCGACTCTGGCCAGACCCATCCTGAGCCCATGATCGGTGCATACGCCCTCCTGCCTTGGCCAGGAGGGCATATGCACCGATCCTGGGTCAAGGATGGGCCTTGCCAGGATCAGTGCATGTGCATAGTTCTCTTCGCCCGAAAATATGAGCCCCCAAGTGCGCAAACCTACCCAAACATAGTCAACACAACCGTCCCCATCAGATCTTTGTAAAACTGCAGTCAGAAACCCTAATGAGGGCGCGCGGCAATGACGCAAGACCCTTGGAAGCCGAAGTCGGGATTTTTGGGGCGGCGGACGACGAAAACCTCAAGGACGCAAGAGCAAGGAAGAGCAAGGACGCAAGGGTACCCTGAGCAAAGCCGCGCGTCCTTGTTAGGGTTTTTGACTGTATTCTCGGATACACTCCTCCTGCAGAGGGGCACACCCGACGGCACGCTCCCGGGCGGCGTGCCGCCGGCCAGCGTGGTCGTGGCGGGCCACTTCGGCAGCCCCCGCCCGCGCCGCCGCGCAGCGGCGCGCGCCGGCGACGGGCGATCCGGTCCGAGGCGAGAGGCCGGGGGCGGCCGCCCACCGCTCGGCCAGCGGCGCGGCGAGCGGCCAGAGAGCTGCTGGAGCAGCGCGGCCACGGGCCTGGCCGTGCTGCGCGTCTGGCGGCGGGGCCGAAGATGCCTCGAGCCCAATGGCTCGAGCCAGAGTGGCTACGGACAGCCTCCCATGCCATCTTGTGGGCTCTTGCGGGCCAGCGCCAATCGACGCTAGACGCCAACTCGCGGGCGGTGAGCTATTCGACGCCAACTCGGCGCTATCCCGTCGAGAACCAGACGCAAATCGACCCTAGTGGACCCTGAAGACGGAAGTACGAGCGTATATGAGGCGCCCGTGTTCTGCTCATGAAAGGCCCAAATTCGAGAGCGTCTTTTCATTCCCGTGCGATAAGGGACGCTACGGGGTCCCACTTGCGGGCGGCGCCGCTCGGACCTTCGGCGGGGCCACGAAACGTGCGAGGGGTGTGCCGAAGCAGGGTGGGGCCGGCCGACATGCGGGCTGCGCCACCGGGGCCTTCGGTGGAGCTCCCTGTGGGGCCACGAAACGTGAGGGGAGTGCCGAATCTCATGGCGATGACGGTGATGATGACGGCGATGATGATGACGATGATGGTGATGGCGACAGTCATGATGATGATTATAATGGCGATGACGTTGACGATGAAGATGACGACGACGACGATGATGATAGTATGATGATCGTGGCGAAGACGGCACTAATGAGTATGATGATGCTGATGCTGATCATGATGGTGATAACGATACTGGTAATGCTATTGGTATTGAGAATGATAATGGTGATGCTTATCATAATGAAGATGATGATGCTGCCGACGATGATGGTGGTGACGACGATGATGATACTGGTGATGCCATTGGTAAAGATACTGTTAACTGTTATGATACTGTGGATGAGTATGATAATGATGCTGCTGCTGATGATGACTATGATGGTGATGGTGGTGATGATGATGCCGACGACGATGACGATGATTACGATGGTGAAGGTGAATGCGATGGTGAGGATGATGCTGCTGATGATGATGGTGATGATGACGACGACGACAATCATGAGTATGATGATGATGATGATGATGATGATGATGATGATGATGATGATGATGATGATGATGACGAGGATGAGGATGAGGAGGATGTGAGAGGGGGGGCAGCGGGTGGGGAGGAGGGAGGAGAAGGAGAAACGCACGTAGGAGAGGGGAACGAAATTAGCGACTCGGACAGCCGGGCGATGGAGGAGGAGAAGGAGGAGGAGGAGGAGCAGGAGGAAAAAGAGGAGGAAACGCGGGGCGTTCTCTCTTCAAAACGAGGACCTAACACCACAGGATGCTTGGGAAAATAACACGCTCTCTTGGGAGGTCTGGACTGATCAGCACTAAAAGGACCCCTGACCCTCTGGGAGGGGACCTAGGTTGGGAGGCCCAGAAACATGAGGGATACAGGGGTCCTTTCTGCAGCTGTATGAAGCCAATCCGCGTAGACCTCCTATCCCTCATGCGCAGACGGGCACCCAAGTTAAGGCCACGTCTGCATCGTGCTGTGAGGGGTATAGGGACTCTCTCATTCTCGATGCTGGGCTGCCTGCGCCGCAGCACCCGCGACCCCGCGCACGGCCGCGCCGCGAACGCCATGGCCAGCAGAGGCAGCGCGCAGGGCGCCAGGCCTGGCCGGGCCACCTGACTACCTACCAGACCACCCCAACCCAACCCGAAGACCCGAATTTCGGGTTGGGGGGGGTACGGGTTCCATATGTGTTTTCTCGATGTTCCACGACCCCCCCCCACTGGAAATCAAGGATAAATTGGGGCCTTCGGGTTGGGTTGGGGTGGTTTGGTGGGTGGTGACCACCGGGGGCTTCATTGCGGCCACGGCGGGGTGCTGCACCGCAGCGCGCCGGGCGCGGCGGCCGGCCGTCGCTACCGCTCACGGCCGGGCATCGTGGAGCGTGCCCTGGCCGAGACGGCGCTGGAGGGTGCGGAGGTGTGGCTCGGAAGCAGCTCCTGGGAGGCCTCCTTATAAGCACGATCGTGTACACTCAAATGTGCCAAGGGGCCACTAGGCGAGGCCCAACCCTGACCTTCCAGAGAGCTATTTTTTCAGCACGGGAGGCCTGGAAACCTAGAAAACTGAGCGAAACAGCCTGAAACCAAGACGTAGAATAGCTCTGGGATAGGTTTTTAAGTCGCGTGCTATTTTTTAGCCCTCCTGGAAGGTCAGGGAACCGGATTAGGCCCATGATTGAGCCCGATTCAGCGGGACTCGACAAATGATCATCCTAATTTTGGGGGTGTATGGATGGCAGACGAGACCACCCCCATGATGAGCAACCATACAAGCGAAATCCGGTGCCAGAAACGCCGGAGGGAGGACTCGGACTGTTCCGCAAACCCGCAAGACTGCTCCGCAAACGTCGGTTATGGGGGTCGGGATGGCCTTTCCTGCCTTGGGGAGATGGGGGAGGAGCTGCGAGGCGGGGATGTCTCCCCAGCCACCGCCCGTGAAGAGCTGCGAGGCGGTAGATATTGGACATGTTTGGCCCACGCAGGCCGCGAATCTATATCTACGCCCACCGCCTGCCGAGGTCCCCGAACGTCGACACCCAAGGCGAGAGTTATGGATAAATCCTCGCCTTGGAGAAGTGGATGGAAGGATGGACTACCTGTGCGAGAGGGATCCCTACTCAGGTGAGCGCGGCTTATGCTCAGCATAAGCTCTCGATCCGCGTGGCGGCACACTCCGCGCGCGCCAGCGATGCCACGGCGCGATGCCCCTACAACCTGCGAGCGGGCCTCCTGGGGCAAGCCCCAGCACGAGACCGACTCGGAGATCAGGGGACTGGCGCTGCGAAGTAGGGAGAATGGGAAGCAGGAGGATTCGCCACCGTGCCGTGAGCACTGCCTGGGGGGTCCCAATGTCTGGCGGCGGCGGCCCCGACAACGAGGACGTCGCCTACACGCAAAGAGTGAGCCGAATTAGGCAAGATTAACCTGTGGTGCGCGGCTTCGGGGATCCGCAGGGGCCAAATCCAAGCGCGCGGGCCAGTGCTGGGGAACCCCTGGCCGCCCGCGACAAAGGTCCCTCTTGGGAAAAAAGGGCCACGGCCACTCATAAACTCGGCGAAGGGCCACTTTTGGGAGAGCGACGACGGCGACGGAAACGGCACGGGCGACGGCGGCGAAAAAAGACGACGACCCCACGCGCGCAGGCTGCGCCGCGCTGCGCCGCGCGGCGGCGCCGCGAGGCCTCCGAAAGGCCAGGGACTGCCTCTGGCGGCGCGTGGCTGGCGCGCGCGTGCCCCCCGCCGCCGCCGTGACCGTCATCCGTCGTCGTCGCCGCCGCCGCCGTCAACGCCGCCGCCGTCACCCGTCGTCGCCGCCGCCGCCGCCGCCGTCGTCACCGCCGACGCGCCGCCGTCGGCCGTCGTCGTCATCCGTCGATGTCGCCATCGCCAGGCATCGCCCATCGTCGCCAGTCGTCAACTTCGTCCGTTGTCGTCACTCGTCGTCCGTTGTCGTCCGTCGTCGTGGTCGTCGTCGTCGTCGTCGTCGTCGTCGGCGTCGTCGTCGTCGTCGTCCTCGGCCGTCGTCGCCGCCGCTGGCACTGTCTTCGTCATTATTAGTCGTCGTCCTTGTCGTCGCGTCGGACCCGGCGTCTCTTTCTTAACGAGGAAGGGGACGGAAACGGTTAGGTGAACTTCCACTTGTTCGACAAGGCCACGGGAAACTGTGGCGGCTGCTTCGTCATGTTCTGTCTCCTCCCCCCATCCTTCGAGAATCGAGGGTCGATCGATCGATCGATCCCCGATCCTCGATCAGTCGATCGAACGAGGAAGAGGTGAGTGATCCCTGGCTCGCCATCACTCGGACGTCCAATCTTCGTGTTTTTTTGTCGGTTTCGTGCGTCGTTTTTTCGCCAAATGATCAAGGATGCTCCTCGATGGTCCTCGCCGAGGAAAAATGCACACGTCCGAGCGATGCCGAGCTGGGGTCGTGCCAGCATCATCGCGCGCGCAGGCGCGCCTGGCTTCCCAGCGGCGCGACGGCCAACCTGCTGCCTGCTGCCTGGTGCCTGCTGCGCTGCTCCTCCTCCAATTGCTCGCCGTCCTCGTCCTCGTCCTCGTCCTCGTCCTCGTCCTCGTCCTCCTCCTCCTCCTCCTCCTCCTCCTCCTCCTCCTCCTCCTCCCCTCGTCGTGCTCGTCCTCCTCCTGCCGCTCCTCCTCCTCCTCCTCCTCCTCCTCCTCCTCCTCCTCCTCCTCCTCCCATCTTCAAACTCTTCCCCTCCTCCTCCTCCTCCTCTTCCCCTCCTCCTCCTCCACTTGCTCGCCATCCCCTTCCCCCTCCTCATCTTACTCCTGCAGTCATCGTGCTACCACAGGGAACGCGTGATAAGGAACGAAGGGGCTTTTTCTGGCCAGTCCAGGCGTAGGCCAAAACGGGGACGGTCCCAGATTTCAGCCCAAGCGGGGTCCGCAAAACATCAACAAAACAATTGGGCCACCCAACTTGTCCGGACCCTGCAACCTCGATCCCGCCGCCATCGAGGGCCCGTACATGCCAAGACCCTGGAACATCTCAACTACGTACTCCACTTCCCCCATGCACCAGGCGTACTCCTTCTTTCCCAGGGCTGCGAGCTGCTCCTAGTGCCTCGTTTTGCCTTGCGCAGTTACTCGTCTGCTCCTTCAGCTGGCTTTTTCCTTGCTGGTTGTTGACTTGACCTCTGCCACTGTTTTGGCTGCTCCTGCCAAGTTGGAAATACAGTCGCCTTCGTCAAAGCCCATGTCATCAGCACCGCCATCATTCACAGGAACCGCTTGACCATCCCCTTTGCGGGAGAGCATTTGTTGGCCCAGGTGCCACTGCTCGGGCCTCGAATAAAGAAAGGATCGTCTCCAAGTGAGCGGACCTGATCTCGTAACCCTTCTGCTGCTTGACCCAGTTCCTGGACGACTCGCTGGTCGACGCGGAGAGCTGCTCCTCCATCTTGAGCGCAAGCCTTTTCGCCATCTAGTCCGAAGCATCTGGCGAACGAGTCATTCGCCTCCTGCTCAAACTGGCCGAACTGCCTCTTGGGTTCCTCCAGAGCGAACTTCACATGGTCAAGCTTATTATCGAGAGGTGGCATTAGCCTCCTCGACTTCCGTAGACACCTTCTCCAGAAGCTCCAGTAGTTTGGCGATAGTCTCCTTGTCCCGCCTGGGCCTATTTGATAGTGAGAGCTGGCGAACGTGTACACCGTTACTTAGAGTTCAGAAGGTTTCAAGCTAAGAAACTGGCCTTCACCCACACGTTTCTGAAACAGCAGTCCAGGTCCAGATGCACTGAAGCCACACGAAAAGAGGAAGCTCCAAGAAAACGCCCAGGGTCCAGTCCAGATTCTTGGTTCTCTCGAACGACATCAGGAGCCCATGAACGAGCATGCTTTTCCTTGAACTTTCTGGCGCTGACTCCTGCGGCTGCTCTTCTAGAGTCTCCACCTGAACTTCCGCCATGAGCTTATCTTCAACAAAATGCAACCATTCCGCTCTCTGCAAGTACAGGACAACGTTTGAAACAAGTGTTTTTTATATAAAAAATATAGGATTTCGAATACATGATTAAGTTATGAATGAATGTATGCGTGAACTCATCGTTGATTTTAATACCAAATCCCTGCATTTTAATACATGACCCGCACGCGGAACATGTATTAAAAACGGCACTGTAATCTCCTTGGTCAGACCACCCTCAGCGCCGGCTGCTCCTGCCCGGGCCGCCGGTGCCTATGGCGGATTCGAGACCAGCGTGGACTTGAGACCCCCGAGCATCTGGAATCGGAAGCTGGGCGAGGGCTGCTAAAACCGTGGCTGCTAAAACGGCCCTCCTGGAAGGAAAACTCAACTTCCCAGAATGAGGCGCGGCACGGGACACAGTCAACGGCCTTCTTCCCGGAAGGACGGAGACAACTTCCCGGAGGTCGATTTTAGCAGCCACGGATTTAGCAGCCCGGCATCCGATGGAAGATGGTCCTGGGCGTGGACTCGTGCGGGCTGCCATATTTCCCTGTCGCTTGCAGCTGAAGGCGGTAACCATGCGCCTTTCCTGGCTGCTCTGACGCTCTCGGGCGGCGCGCTGCACATCCGCATGCGCATCGGGTCCGAGACGCCCTGCTTGCCCTCCCTGTGACGCTCGACGCATCCCCAGTCAAAGGCTTCTTTGCACCCGAGAGAACATCCTTGCCACCAGACCACATTGGCGGCGCCTCGCCGAGAGTCCGGCGATGCCAACGCTCCTGGAGGAGGAGGAGGAGGAGGAGGAGGAGGAGGAGAAGGAGGAGGAGGAGGAGGAGGAGGAAGAGGAGGAGGAAGAGGAGGAGGGGGAGGAGGAGGAGGAGAGGGAGAAGGCGCGACGAGCAATCCTTCCATACCTGGCCAACACCACGTCGCCGACAGGCGTGGGTAAAACCTGCGCTGGGCGCCCCCTCGATGTTTGTCGCACAGCGGCGGGAACTTCAGCTCGAACCCCCGCGGCAACAGCTTCCAGCTGGAGCCAGCATGGTTACGGACCTCCTCCTGCTCCTCCCACTCCTCCTCGCGGGGCTTCCTCTCCCCGCCCCCTCCTGCCTCTTCTCCCGTCCCCGCTGTTGCTCCACCCTATCCCACCCCCCCCCCTCCTCCCCATCCTCCGTCGCCCTCCCGCTCATCCTTCCCCTCCCGTGCTCGCCTCGCCGCCGTTCCCCTCCTCCTCCGTCCCCCTCCGGCTCCTCCTGCTCCTCTGGCTCCGCCACCTCCTGCACGCCCCTCCTCCGCATGCGGGGGCACAAAGAGGTGCTAGTACCGCTGCTCCAAAGACCTCTCCCAGCGTGCGGTCTTGACCAAAATATCGAAGCGAATCCAGCCGTGGCGACGGCGGAAAGGTGGCGGTATCGGAATATTCCTCCCGTGATAATGATCCTCCTCCTCCTCCTCCTTCTCCTCCTCCTGCCTCCCTCCA